AAGTGGCATCCCAGACTCAACCATCTTCAATTGCTTCCCTAATGACCTTCCCTCCATGAGGTCAGAAGTATGTTATTCACTGAAGATTGTACAATGTTCAGACCCATTTGTGATTCCTCAAATACTGTAGCAATCTGCATCCAGACACCATTCACACGTGGGCTGCTAAAAGCAAATAGTACGAGGTAATTTCCATCTTCAACAAGGGACTATCCAATCACCACTCCTGGACATTCAACAGCATTACAATTACTGAATCCTCACAGTTAATACCCTGGGGTTACCACTGATCAGAAACTGGACCAGCCATACAAGGGATTTGTCTCCCGTCTCTGTAGCTGCCAGCAGCTACATGGCACAAGTCAGGAGTGTGCTGGAATATTCCCCACTTCCGTGGGTGGGTGCAGCCCTGAAAACACTCAAAGTTTGATATCATTAAAGATGAAGCAATCCACTTGCTTAGTACCCCATCCACAATCATTCACTCCCTCCACATTGACACCATGTTAGGGATGTATAACATCTAAAGATGTACTGCAACATTTCACCAAGGCTCCTTATACAACATCTTTCAAACTTGCAGCCTCTACCACCTAGAAGGATAATTACAGCAGATGCAGGGGAACGCTATAATCTGCAAATTCCCCTCCAAGCTGCTCATCGTCCAGACTTGGAACCATATCTCTGTTCCTTCACTGCCAATGGGTCAAAATTCTCTAATTCCTTATCCAACAGTACTGCCCATTCCCCTACATTCCAAACACTGCAGCAATTCAAGGAGGATGAACAGCCAAGTGAAATGAAACAATCTTTTACAACAGAACTGTCCATGATCAAAATATTTTTTACTAGCATGCAACTCCATCTAGTGGCAACTGTATCCATTTCCACTTTAGCACAGATTTGGTTATACATGACGGATTAAATTTGAAAATTCTACTGTTAGTTAGGGTAAAGAGTACAGCAGTAAACTATTTATCAAAGCTACTAGCTCATCTCAAAGTCATACCTCGTGTTCAGATCCTAACTTATAGTTACCCACAACTCTAAACATACATGCTGATTTGTCAATTTATTCTCAGCACAATATGAGCCAAGGTCTAAGGAACATCGATGCCGCACATAAAGATTTCTGGGACCTTGCTATGTGTTTTTGGATTGAGAGAATAGGCTCTATGGGCCTTACTTATTCTATTCCTTTTTATGGACAATTCCACTGCTTCTATTAATCTTTTAAAGTTAGTAACTGAAACAGGACCCAGCACTGGACCAGGAGAAGGGCCCGCCTCAAAGTGAAGATCACTGAGAAGTTGGAACTTTTATATCGGAAGGTTCCGATCTCCTTCCATTCTGTGACACCAAACACTCCCATGTTGGCAATGACAGTCATGGGTTCAGAAGAATGTGGGAACAGAATGCTGACCAACACCAGTCTCTGCTAGTCTTTGTTACTCTTTGATCATATATGGTGTTCTCTGCCAGTCTCTGTTGATCTCCGTCTGTCTCTTCTGGTCTGTGTTAATCTTTGCTTGTCTCTGCCAGCGTCTGTGCTCTCGGACTGAACCTGCTGGTTTCTGTCAGGCTGATCACTCTGTCTCTTCCTCCAGAAACCAATTCCAATGATGATTCGAAGAAGAATGAGTAAGATGGCTGCTGCTCCAAACAACATTCCCAGTTCAATGCCTCTAAGTAACACTTGTTTCCAGGGTACATCCAGCTCCTGCATGAAGCTGGTATGCTCAACGTGACAGGAATATCTCTCCCCATCACCCGTACTTAGTTTGACCGTCACCATCACCCTTTACGTCTCCATCTGGTTGGGGAGCCGGTCATTGCATTTGACATTGAGGACCACTACTCCATTCCTCAACTACGTCACATCGCTAGCCCCAGGAGAATAGCCCTTCACAAAGCAGGAGAGTCTCAGCACTTACTCACCATCCGTCCTGTTCCTAATGAACACCTCAGGGCTGACTGTCCTCTGCAGCGCTGTTCGCCTACATTCAATATTTCAGCTATACCTTCCAATCTCAACTTAAGCATCAAAGCGGCAGCATCTATCCCCAGAGAAGATCAGCAGACACAGAAAGAGGTAGGAGGGAGGACAAATTTCCTTTTCACAGCAGTAGCTGCCGTATTTAGGTATGTTTTTAAGGTTGAAAACTTTCGGTAAATGAGTAACTAAGTTAGTGGATGATGTGTTCAGTAGATTGATGAACGGTGGTGGGTGGAGGTGTTGGTTGTTGGGTCGGCTGGTGGGTTGGCACAACTGAGTTATATTCATTAAAAACTTATGCAAGGTATTGAACGGTGTAACAATTCTGGAGGTAAGTCCTGCCTGTTTCGTCCACCGTGTCAGAGTCATGCGGAGGTTCCAACCAGAAAATGAAAGTCAGCAAATCAAACGTTTAAAGTTCCTGGGCAATTATGCTGGCATCTAGGCATCAGGATCTATGCAAATACATCTCCCAAATAATAGCCCATCTTCAAACAGCCAGAGATGGGAGGATTTGGGCCTTATATGGGTTTTAGTTTTTGTTTTTTTTTTGGGGGGGGTGTGGCATTGCAGTAATGTCAGAGGTTTGTAAAACTAAAGGTCCAGGCTAATTGCTTAGGAGCTTAGTGTTCAAACCCTACCACAGCAGCTAACAATTCAAGCATTATGTAACTTTTGGTGGGTAGGTGGATAGCTCTGAGAAGTGGCAGGGTTGGAAGGTTTAAGCTAAGTCCCAAGCACAAAGCTGGGGTTGTGGGGGGCAGAGGGAAACAGTGCTGGGCATGCGGATAGGGCATCACTGGGCATGTGGATAGGGCATCACTGGGCATGTGGGCAGGGCCAGCATCGATTGTGTGAGCAAGGAGGGAGTGGGCAATCTGAGGGTGCAGTGAAAGAATCAGCAGTGTGAGGGGTGCAGGGATAGAGCGTGAACAGTATTAGAACATGAGTAATCTCTGGGTCAAGGGTGTGGATTAGAATGAGCACTGTCCGAAGAGAGTTGTGCGCACTGGGGGGGGGGGGGGGCTAGCTTGAACTGCAGAGGCAGTGGAGAGACACAAGCATAGCTGGAGAGGAGGCTAAGCAGCATAGGTAGTTCAAGTTTCGTGCAGAAACCCCAAAAAAAGTCAGTTAAAAGTAGTAAATAGACCTCAATGGTGTGTCTTCAGTCCATAGTAACAATTACGACAGTTGCACTCCAATAGAAGACTACAGAACTTACCTCATCACTAAGACAAGACTGCCCTAAAACTATGGCATAAAAGAGTGCAGTTTTAAATAGGGTCAGCGATATTTGCTCCTGCTCCGCACCACCCTAAAAATATAGACAGTGTTGCTGTTAAGTGTAGCAGCTGAGTTATCCAGGTGTATATGAGCTTGTGTCATTGAACTCAGCAGGTTAGGTCAAGATAAAACACAATATCCCAAGCATTATTAACGATGCATTGTGTAGAAAAGCAAGTAGGTTATGTTATGAAGCTTAAATAAAACAGTCGCTCCACCTCATTTGTAGAATTGTGTCTACTTATGGGTGCCACACTGTAGAAAGGGAATGAAAACATTGGAGTGAGTACAGAAGAGGTTTAGAAGAATAATTCCAGAAATGAAGAATTTCAGGCATGAAGATAGATTGGAGATGTTCTCCTTGAAGAGAAAAGAGGAGACCTGATTGGACAGCATGGTGGCTGTGGGTTAGCACTACTGCCTCACAGCACCAGTGACCTGGGTTTAATTCTACCTTTGGCTGACTGTTTGGAGTTTGCACATTCTCCCCGTGTTTGCATGGGTTTCCTCTGGGTGCTTTGGTTTCCGCCCACAGTCCAAAGATGTACAGGTTAGGTGGATTGGCCATAATGTCCTCGGATATGCAGACCAGGTGGACTAGCCATGGGAAATTCATGGAGTGGAGATAGGGCTTGGGAGCAGGGATAGGGTACTGGAGTGGGTCAGGGTGGGATGTGCTCGCATAGTTAGTGTAGACTCGATAGGCCAAATGGTCTACTTCCACATTGTAGGGATTTTATGATTTAAGTCTTCAAAACCTTAAGGTGTCTGGGCAGCGCAAACAGTGAGAGAATGTTCCCACTTACGAAAGGATAGTGAATGAGGGGACACAGACAAACTAATTAGGAAAAGCAGAAGTGACGAGGAAAAAGTCTTTCAAGCAACAAGTGGCAAGAACTGGTAGGCACTACCTAATTCAATTGACACATCCAATCGGGAACTAGACAGCAATGTGAAAAGGACCAACAGGCAGGATTACAGGACAGGGGAATGGCACTTGGGTGACATGCTTCCTAAGACAGCCAATGGAGTCAACAACAACCCTACGAATAACACCTATGCATGTATTTCTCTAGCAAACTACTGATGATAATGTACTACTATCGACATCTTGTTTACGTCTAACCTCCTTATACAGTCTGGGGCCAAAATTATCGATAATGACTTCTGGACGTTACACCCATCCCCACGCCCCCGTCCCTTTTCTGAAGACTGTTTACCAGTCATGTCCTCTCAACTCAGCGGAGTGTTAAGGACATCGCTAGGGATAGATGTAGGTCCATTCAGCCCCTGGAGTCTGCTCCACCATTCAGTTACATAGTAGTAGTTGATCTGGATGTCCAGACTATCCAGACACCCCGGCTCCGGTCCTTCAGCAACTATAGTGACTGGTATTTCCACAGCACCTCTAACTCTGGTGTGAACCATCCCGAGCGGCTCCATGGGGACTTGAGCAGTGCTGGAGGCAGAGAGCAGGTGACCCAGCGCTTGCTCACACAGGCAGGTTTCCGGGAGCGGCTCTCGATGCTGCAGCGCTCGGTCTGTTTCCCCCGGAGCTCAGCGGGGGTCGGGCCGGCCCGACCACCCCCCTGCATCGGCAGGTTGGAAAGGGATGGGGGGGGAGGGACGGGGTTTGGCGGTGGGTTCCAGGCCGGATCCACCGGGAGCAGCGAGCTCGAGGGCTCCAGGCCGCAAAGCCTCGCTCCTTGCAGCACCTCACCTTGGTATCGACGTCGGCCAGGCAGTCGCGGCGGAACTGGTCGAAGAGGCCCTGGCTCTTCAGGTGGTTAACGATCATGGAGACAAGCTTCGGGTCTCCCGGCGCCAGAGCCGCCATCCCGAGAGACGTCACTCAGCAACCGCGGCCGCGCGCTCCGCCGCCGCTACCGCCAGCCCCACCCCCTTCCCGCGGGGGATGATGGGAGAGCGAGACGTCACATCCGGAACCTCACCAGCACGGCGCATGTTCAAAGCGAGCTGGTAGTGTAAGAGTAGAGTAGTGGCAAGTGTGAAGTGTGTGCGTGTTTCGAGAGTAAAGGTTCAGAAAACAGTATCACAGCAGGATATAGTAATGGAGAACAGGTTGATGGAAGAGAATAAGGAAGGAAGGAAGGAAGGAAGGAAGGGAGGGAGGGAGAGGGAGAGAGAGAGAGAGAGAAAGAAAGAAAGAAAGAAAGAAAGAAAGAAGGAGCATGCGGGCAGAGGGAGTAGCTTGGTTAGCTCAATTGTAGAGTGACGCTAGGGAGACTCCTGTGAAAGACCCTCCGGCTCAATCCCCTTCTTCCCCC